TCAAGTAGAAAGCAAATGTTTTGAGAATGATGAGGGAAACAAATGTACAAAAGTGCTTGACACAGTGGATGTATGTATGGATTGTGATGAGCTTTGTACGAGCCCCCAGTAAAATGATTAAAAAAAAGATGTGATAAGAATTTATAATTTATCAAGGGGTCACGAGGGTGGGAGGGGGAAGTGAGGTTAAAAAGAAGAGCTGATACCAAGTGCTAAATAGAAAGTAAATGTTTAGTAAATGGTGATGGCAACATATGTACAAATATGCTTGACATAATTGATGTATGGATTGTTATAAGAGCTGTAAGAGCTCCCAATAAAATGATCTTAAAAAACACCCTCAATTATAATTATTAATTTATAATTATACCTAGGGCAATTAAAGAACAATCTCAGATTATATATTAAAGATGCAAAAGTAAGTTAAAAAAGTATTGCTACAAAATCATAGAAACTTTTATTAAATGAAAATATCAAAATGTGAAACTGTTGTTTCTCCCCACAGCCTCCACCTGGGTCTGGGCCCTTCTGAAGGTGGTGTTGCCCTCTCTCTAAGGAATGCGTGCGCTTTCATTTATGCCGTGTGAGAGCAGAGCTGGGATTCATGGAAGAACTCTAATTCTATTCCTTTTAAGGGTTCTGGGCGGTTTGGCAACAAAAATCAGTCTGAAGGAGCAAAATGAGGGCTGCAGGGTGGGTGGCATAAAGGTTTTCCAGACAAACGCTCCTAGGCAGTTCTTGCTCCTCGCAAAACCTGAGCAGGGGCATTGTGGTTATGGGGCGCGTGGGTGGGGGAGAAAAAGAAAGGAAGTGAGAAAACTTTAGGACAACTTTCCCAATCCGTTTGTCACCTATTTTCAATTTTCTTTAACCGTCTTCCTAATAGAGAGCCCTGGAAATTAGTGGCTACTCATTAAGCTGTGAACCTTAGGCTGCAAACCTCAAGGTCAGCAGTTTGAAACCACCAGCCACGGTGCGGCAGAAAGACAACACTCTCTACTCCCTTAAAGAGTTACAGTTGGGGGAGAGAGGGAAAATAAAGGAGCTGATACCAAGGGCTCAAGTAGAAAGGAAGTGCCTTGAAAATTATAATAGCAACATGTACAAATGTGCTTGATACAATCGATGCATGGACAGTTATAGGAGCTGTAAAAGCCCCCAATAAAAAGATTTATTAAAAAACAAAAAGAGTTACGGTCTTGGAAATGGGCAGGGACAGTTTTCACTTGGCTGGTCGGGTTGTTATCCGTCAGAATCGGGTCGGGTTGGGAGTGGGTCGGGTTGGGAGTCAGCAGAATAAGCGCCCATGATTGTTTGTGTCCTTCAAGGGCATCTACCACGAGTAACCCTTTGGGATCCCAAGAAACCATCCCCATGACCTTCTGAGCTCCCTTCGTTGCCTTCAATTTAATTGGCCCTGCGGATCTCCTCAGAAGCCACTCTTTGAATTGTACATGAAATTGGAAAGCACCTTATCAGGACGAAAGCAAACCTATTACCGAGAGAATTGATCTGCAGTTATCCACTGATCCTAGAATCACATATTTAAGATTTTGTTTTTAAAAAAATAAGCCTGTGCATGTACAAACTCATCACAGTGTCTGAGTTGCCCTCGTAGACCGTGAATATTCACAAGAAACATACTTACAATGTGGAAGCAAAAAGACCAAATCCCACTGTTTTTCCTCCCATTTCGAGACATGAATGAAATGACGTACGTCAGAAAGATCAGCGAGGCGGCATAACTAATCGCACACGGCATCTGTAACCAACAGGAACATGGCGTTTAGCTGATGACAAATGCAATGTAGGAAAACGGTCAGAAATCAAGAGCAGGGTCAGCACGGGGTCTTAGCGTTCTGATTTCTGACCATTTAGATAGCAGTGCAAGAAGTTTGCTCGGTCAAGTTCTCCGGTGAAATCCCGCAGTACTATTTGTTCTAGCACGGTCACCACTTACTTGCACTATCCGGTGGATAGTCTTAAAGACAGACTCTTGGGAGCTTAGCATGTAGTCCATCAAATACATGAAAAGGAACACCACGCAGTACAATGGAAAGTCCACTGCGGCCTGCCCAAACCAGTAGGCAGAAGGGAAGAGTCCCGATATCCGCAGCTGTGCCCGGGCTTTGTTCTGTTCAGAAGACAGGAAAGGCACAAAACGGTATTTCAATGTTCAGAATTGTTTAGGAGAATGTAGATTATATAAGAACATATGCACACATTAAAGAAAAAGACTTTATTCCCATCAATCTGAACCGCGTCTATAAATGTTATCTGGATTAAGGGCCTAAATGGTCAGTTTGATGCTTTCAGGAATGGCATTGATGCTTCACACGTCTTGTAAAGATCTGAGGAAGCGCATCTCCGGGCAATGGGGACATGAACAACGGAGGCAAATCAGTCAGTGACTCCACGAGGGGATGGAAGAGAGTCGAGCAACTACCAGCAGCTTTCCACCACACAATGACTATGCTTTGACTCTGTATTGAAGGCGGGCCTGCAACCAAGATCTCAGCCTTTCAGGGTGTCCACTAAATGAGAGCCTGGTTGGTATCATGGTGAGGCAGCTCGGGGTCAAAAAATTCAAACCCATCAGCCATTCTGACAGAGAAAGACCTGGTGATCTAGCCTGTAAAGATTGCATCCTTAAAACCCTGTGAGCTGATTACCAGTTGGAAATGACTGGAAGATAAAGAACAATGAGACTAACGTCAAATGCATAGAACTCATCTCAATTCTGATGAAAATCTCTCAGCCCTGTGGACATCTTGGAATGGTTCATCTGACAGCTTCCGAATTGCTCTTGGGCTAGCTATACTCTATACATAGACATACACACCCATACTAGTTCCTTTTACTTGTGTAGTTTAGATTTTAGTTTTGAATTCGCTGTTTAACATTAAACATGGTTGAGTATCATGTTGCAAACTAGTGATTACATTGGCATCAGCTCGAACCATACAAAACAACAGGAGTTTCAATTCCTCATCATTACCTTATAATCATCGACGCTGCTCATGGCAATATAAGGAGAACAACTGGCTGCCAAAATCAGCCAGAACATGCTATGGCTTATTAATGCAAAGGGATTATCCCGCTCCTCCTGAAATTACAAGAAATCCAAAATTAATTTTCGGGAGCACGTCTTTTAAAAAACACTAAACTGATTATAATGGTGTCTGCTTGAGATCTCCTTTGGGATCCCCAGACTCCTCCTCCACCATTCATCCAGCTCTGAATCTTGACCTGGCTAAATAATAATCCACATTTAATAAGTTCAATTTCCTAATTGATCTTGAATTGTCTCAAATGAGTGCTTGACTAACAAACCACACAGGGGGGTTTTATGGAAGTATGAGTTATAAGGAAACAATGAGACCAGATACATACTGATTGAAGATTCAAAAGTGGAGATGAAGCATTCGAAGAGGGATTGAAAACTCCAAGCAAAACCTCCACTGTTCTTTCCACATGGTGCTGTTCCTGTTTTCAATAAGCTTCAAAGGTAGAAGACGCACAAGCGATCTTGACAGCCAGTATTACGCTCACGATTCATATAGCTGTTATTTAATTAAGTACATTGTGGAAGAATGTCATAGCATGAGGCTGATGATCTTCATCATGAACATCAGAAAGGCCCTCGTTAACCATAGGATAGTGAGTTTAAAGATTATTGTCAGAATCCTTCCAGAAAACCCTGCAAGCTTGTTGCTGTTGTCGTTAGGTGCCATTGAATCCGTTCTGACACGTGGCAGCCCTGTGTGCAACAGAATGGAGCCTTGCCCGCTCCTGTGCCATCCTCACAACCGCGCCTGTGGCTGGGCCCATTGTGGCAGCCACGTGTCAATCGTCTTGTTGCGGGCCTTCCTCCTTTGCGCTGCCCTTTCACTTTACCAGGCATGATGTCCTCCTCCAGGACGCGGTGCCCCCTGACAACATGTCCAAAGGACGCAAGAGGCAGCCTTGCCATTACGCCGCTAAGGAAGACAGATGGCGGTGCTTTGAGAGTCCACTGGATTTTCAATATCTTCCTCCGGCACCACAATACGCATACCTCGAAGAGACTTGGGAATATATTCATAGGATCAAGGTGTAGGTGTTACGTAACTGCAACTGTTAGTCATAGAATGTTGTTGTGTTCACTTATAGGCTATCATGTTTAAGTGAGGCTTTGACACACATTGTGTGCATTTTAGTTTTATCCTTGTTAGATACAGATATGATTTTGTTTAAAAATGTTATATGGCTAAAGAGTTGTGTAAAAGTGTCAAGTTGACAAAGGGTGGTATGTGACAGTTACGTAATCTCCTGTCAACTGAGGAAGGGGTGGAGTCTAGCCTGTCAGTTAGGTTGTAGCTTGATGACCTCCTCTGGAGGTATGAGGTAGATTAGTAGCTCATTGGAGGCCAGATACATGCTTTCCCTGCAAGACATTCCTGTTGACCAGCCACATGGAGCCGCGCTCATGGAGCCAGAACCCCGGGGCTGGAGGAGCCATGTGGAGACCCACACTAGTGCTGAGATGCTTCCACCACCACTGGATCCACAGGACTTTCCACCCACTGGCCTGTGATCTTCCTGCACTTGGTGTCATTGCATGTGTTGCATGAGTCTCAAGAGGAATTTATGGATTGGTATTGGACATATGGGGTATATTGGACTTATGGACTTAATCCAAACTGAGCTGGATGTTTTCTTAATATACAGTTACTCTTTGAAATAAAGTTCTCTATTAAACACATATGAGTGTCTATGAATTTGTTTCTCTAGTCAACCCTGGCTAATACAGAAGGTAACTCAAGATCTAGCTGATACATTAAAAAAAGTAATGATGGCCCATTTTATACACAACTACTTGGAGATAAGCGAACATTGGAAACGTCTACTATCATAAAATCCTAGAGTGGAGTGGGACACCGATCATTTAATAAGTCCTTGTGGCAGAGTGGCTTATACGTTGGGCTGCTAATCTCAAAGTCAGCAGTTTGAAACCACCAGCTTCTCCGTGGGAGAAAGAAGAGGTTTTCTATTCCCGTAAAGAGTTACAGTCTCAGGAATCCAAGGGCAGTTCTACCCTGTTGTAAGGGGTCATTATGAGTTGGATTCAACTGAATGGCAGGGAGTTTAGTTTGGGTATTTTGGGAAATTTAATTTTTTATTTACCAAATAAGCAAATTTGTTTATATCCTGGGGACATAGTATTATTTCATATTAAAAAAAACAATCTATGGTCCTTTTGTTCAAAGAACTCTATAGCAGAGAGGAAAATAATAAAATCATCTAAATTAAATCATCGCAAGCTGCAATATGCATCCTTGTCCAAATTCCACTGTTCAAACTTTAGAATAGATACATTTCACTCCCTGGGGATTTTGTTTGGAAATAATATTTCCTTGTTCATCAGGTGGAAAAGCTGCTTTGGGGGTTCTGGACCCAGGAATTCCCCTCTCCCACTCCCCTCCAACTTTTATGATCTCAGTGAAGGTTTAGAGAGCAGAGCCCCCATTTGATAGTCAATAACTGGTATGTGTTTCGTTTCCTCTCATTCACTGCGATCCCCGCAATCCAGCGTCACTTATGCCACCTCCTCCCTGTGTATCCATTCCTGTTTCTTCCTGAACTGGAAGAACTTTGTCCTTGGATAAACGCTGTCCTTTTGATCTTGAACTGTTGGTTGTTCTAAGCGTGCAAACATCACAGTGCTGTTGTTCCCTTCATATAGGTCTGTATATTGTTGGGGCGAGAAGCCCTGGTGGTGTAGAGCAGGGGTGTCAATCTCAATTAAAACGTGGGCCATTTGGTGCAACAGGCAAGATTCACATGGACCACATCACATTTACAAATTTTGTTAAATTTATATTTTAAAGTGAGGATTCAGGATTATTGATAGGATAATTAAAACACTATATAATTGCTTTTATTTAAACATTTATTTTATTTAATGTATTTATAAAATGAAAATTTTTGTTTTTTACCCAAAACTTGCCAGTGCTTTCCTCCTACTAGTTTTTCACTTACCTCCTATGTTGTGACCAGAAAAAATAACAAAGTAACTAATAAAAACACAAAATGTTGGACAGCTGACAAACATGATGCACAATCGTAATGGCTTCCCTCTGAAAATGTTAACTAGCACTGCCGCCAGGTATGATTCATAACAGCACAACCCAGAGTGCTCTTTGTAACCTTTTCCCTATTGGGATCTGTTGACATTACGTGACACTGAGAGTGGCAGACAGATCACTTCCAAACGTCGCCGGAACTGAGTCGGTGCATCTATACACGTCCACAGGCCCCCAGGAAAGGCACTGGGCCACGTGTATCCTTGTCTTCACGTGTATCCAGCAGTTAAAGGATTAACGAGGGAATTTTGTGTCTGGTATCGCCTCCATCTCCCTTAAGCGCTATTTTCTTCATAACAACTTTTCAATTTTCATTTTGTTTCAGAGCTTTGCAGGCCACAAAAATTACCTTGGGGGCCACACGCGGCCCGCAGGCCACCAGTGTGACACCCCTGGTGTAGAGGGTTACTCATGGGAATGCAAACTGCAAGGATAGCAGTTCAAAGCCACCAGCTGCCCTGAGGGAGAAAGCTGAAGCTTTCTACTCCTGAAAGATTTATGGCCTCAGGACCCTTCTACAGGGTCTCTATGAATTGGGATGGACTTGATGACACTGAGTAGTGACATTGCTTGCGCAAAAATTAGTCCTAAGGATGCGTTCAGATCCAGATCTGAAGAGTGGCTAAGGGCCGTGGTCAGTGGTAAGGAAGAAAGAAACGTGATGGAAACTGAAGACACGTGGGAAGAGTCAGTTCAGTGGGTTAATAGACTAAGCCAACATCTGTCTCTGCACCCTGAGACCAGAAGAAGTAGGTGTGCTTAGTTATTGCTACCAACTGCTCTGAACGGCATCACATTAGAAGATGTTGAATCGAACTGAAAAAACACGTGGAACCAAACTCGAAATCATAAAAATGATCAGAATTACTGGTTGGATGGAGACCAAAGCAGGGTGTGGAACGTTGCCTTTGTAAACCAGGTCATATCAACTGACCTTGGTGAGTGCTGAGACTAGAGTCAGTCCCCTGAGGTCCAGCAATCCAGTCTCTCAAAGGGAATACTTATTTTTTTATCATAACCCGGATTCATTCTGATATAACCAGTCTCTAATTCTAGCTTTAACTTTATCCTAAGGTATTTCTGTTGTAGTATTTCTATAAGTAATAAGAAATCGATCTATCCATCTACTAACCCTCCTTCCTTTTCCCTCCCTCCCTTCCTCCTTCCTTTCTGTCCCTCCCCCCATAACAGACACACAGTGTACTAACTATTTGCTAGTCGTGGTGTTCTGTAATTCTGCTTTTGTTGTCTTTCAGGCTTTTCAAAAAAAATATTTTGTTACTTCTATGTACCTCAGAATATTGAGAATTCTGAAAAAGAATTGATTTCCTAAAGTTAGCATGAATCTCAAAGTAAACTTTGATGTAAGTCCCCAGTATATATAAAAGGACAACTGGGAAATTCCCTATGGAGTAAAATCTGCAAGATTATATACTTACCACAAAAAATGTGCTTCTGTCAGTCTGGATATGTGCTGATGGCTGGAACATTCCAAGTAGCGCATTGCTAACAATATCCATTAGGACTGGGAAGCAATTCAACCTCTTGGCATTACATGCTAATGAAAAGTTGTACTTCTAAGACATAACAACAACAAAAAAGGCACACATTTTCAAAATATCTTTTCCTAAGTCAATAAAAACCCAACAGTTTAATTTAAAATTATGATTTTTAATATAGTATCAAATAATTAAAATAAATAGGCTCTGTCTGATTTTCAGGACACAAGCTATCTGGCCTAAGACTTCACAAAGCCAGGTGGTGCATGTTTACCCTTTAAGTAAAAAACAGAAGTTTCAAACTATGTGTACGATAGCGCCCTTGAGTGAACAACAACGTTTCCAGACTTAGATATGCCCTTGAGAGTGGGTATCACACAGTGGGCATTTTGCTAATACACTGTATCAGTAGCTAGTGATTAATTTATAATTTTAGTTATTTATTATTCTAACTATAATTCATTAAGTAATAAATAAAAAACTCTTCTTTCCATTTTTATGTCTTTACTTGGAAACCCAAGTGTACTGGTATTATATTTTAAAAGCCTTCCTCTTGTTTGTAAAACTTAACCTAGTAGTACAACAGTTAAGCTCTTGGCTGCAATGGAAACATCAGAGGCTTAAACCTACCAGCCCTTCCTCGGAAGAAAAGACTCATTGCTCCGTCCCCATAAAAATCACAGCTTGGGAAACCCTCCGAGCGACATCTACTCCGTCGTCGCATTGGGGGATCCTGAGTTGGAATTGACTCTCCAGCACCCCGTAACCACAGAGCTCAGCTTACCACTTTATTACCAGACACTGTGATGGCTCCATTGTAAGACGGGTCATCTGTGCCTTCTCTAGTTCCAGATCCATCCACCTCCAAAGCCAGGTTCTGGCGCTCCACGGACTGCATAAAGTCATCAATGCTTGCCCCTGGCATGTAGGTAAAGACATTAGATGTCACAAACTAAGAAAATTCATCTCAGGTGGCAGAATGAAAGTACAATTAATGTCAGGTGGTTTCACCTACGGTAGGCAATATGAACTGTCCGGATATATGTCCACACAACAGCATGCTTGCTACAGTGATATTAAATGCAACTCACCTCTAATGGATTCTACTTAATATGTTCATTTGCTATGATCCCTGATACTGGAGAAGTCTATCTAGAGTGGTATAGGATTTGGAATAGATTTCCCCCTGTCCCCCGTAGCCAACAACGAATCAGCACAAACAATGACTTTTTAATAATGCAGATATTTTCTACTAATTAACCACCAGTGTTGCTACTGCTGGCTTTTTCGCTGAAGCACAGATGTTTCTTGGTACAGAAAACTTATAGACTTGCAGTGCAAAGAGTTCCAAAGGCCTTCTTCCTAGCAATGTAACCATAATTTGTGAAAATTTATTTAAACCAAAAATCAATGCTTTTTTGAAATTGTCCCAAGGCCATACAGAAAATGAAGAAACATATATTCAAGAAAATGTGCTCAATCTCAATAAGAATGGGAGACGGTGGCTGTTAAGAGACAAGATGATCCCACCATTCTGCCTCTTGCATCTGCCTTTGGCAGAAGCTTTCTCCTAAATGGACTCATCCCAAAGCAGTCCTTCTGCCCTCTGCTCCCCTTACAGCAGATACTACGGTATCTTCCTGGGAAGAGCAGGCCACCAGCTCTCCTCAGGTTGCCCAGTTTCATGTTCTAGATGCTCAATTCCGGGCAGGACCAGGTCTGAGGCTCTCCCCCCCCCCCACCCCCAAGATGGACTCTCTTTGGTTGTAGTAGACACATCAAGCCATGGATACAGGGCACAAACACTCCTGCCAAGCTTGCTTATGTTGTGCAGGTTCTATGATAGAGAAGGTAAGCTCAGAAGACCAGAGACAGGAGGCTCAGTTGGAGAAGCAGGCCACGATCCCTATCCCCAGTTCTAGGGCAATGCCACAGAGATTTTTCTCAGGTTGAAAGACAGACCAAAAGAACCAAGAACACAGAAGCTCTCCCCAGGGGTACTTTATCTGGGTCAGTGAAGGGGGACATTCAAGCCTAAGAGTAATTAAAAAAAACCTGGGGATTTTGTTAATAAGCATTCATGAGAAGGTGGTAGCTCAATGAGCCCATCCAGCTAAATCATAAACCAGTTAGAAGTTGACCAGAGAGGGCCACAGAAAAGACAATCAAGAAGAACCCTTTTGATGTCAAGAAAAAAACCCTCAAACTCATCTCAAAGATTGCTTCTGCAAACAAAGCAAAATCGAGTTAGATCAGAGTTTAGAACAATGTATGCCTCTGAGCTAAAATGGTCAGGATCTGGCCATTTTGAATCTGAAACACCATATGGTTTAGTATGTTGGAAATAACATACTGTAATCAAAAGGAATGGCTTTGTATTTATCTTCAAAAAGGTCATTTCCACACAATCACTGAAGACAAAATGGGTACACAAGCAAATATGGTGAAGAGAGCATAGTGCCTGGCTATCAAAAGATCTAGCACCTGGGGTCTTATTAGTTTGAAGTTAAACAAGCAGCCATCTAGCAGGGAAGCAAATAAGCCCACCTGGAAGAAGAACACCATCCTGTGTGATCATGAGATATTGACGGGATCAGGTACCAGGCATCAAAAGATCAAAACCAAACAACTATATCAATATGAGCAAGGGGGGTTAAAGTGGAGACCCAAAGCCCAACTGTAGGCAACTGGATATCCCTCACAGAAGGGTTATAAGGAAGGGATGATTCAACCAAGGTGTAGTATAGCACTAACAAATTACACATCATTCCTCTAGTTCCTGAATGCTTACCCCACCCCCACCCCACTACCATGACCCATTTATACCTTACAAATCTGGCTAGACCGGAGAACACACATTGTTACAGATAAGAGTCCCCAATACGTGGAATTCAGGACAGCTAAATCCCTCAGGAACAGTAGTGGGAGTAGCGATATCATGAAGGTAGGGGGATGGTCAGAGAGGGGGAAGGTGGAGAAAGGCGAACCCATCATAAGGTTGGATATAAAGCCCCCGGAGGGGACGAATAACAGAAATGTGGGTGAAGGGAGACAGCAACCAGTGTAAGATATGAAATAATAATAACAATATATAATTGATCAAAGATTCAAGAGGGTGGAAGGGTAGGGGAGGGAGGGGAAAAAAGAGGAGCTGGTACCAAGGGCTCAAGCAGAAAATGCTTTAGAAATGATGATGGCAACATATGTACAGATATGCTTGATAAAATTGATGTATGGAATGTTTTAAGAGCTGTAAGAGCCCCCAATAAAATGACTTAAAAGAAAAAAAAGTCATTTCCAGATTTATCTTGAAGTACAATGTTGTCCGTGATAGGTTGATATCTATCCACATACAAAGAAATTCAATCAGCACAACAACTATTATTCAAGATTTGCACCAACCCCCAGAGAAGCAGAAACGGAAGCATTCTACCAATGTCTTCAGTTTGAAATTGATCAAGCATGCTCTCAAGATGCATTGATAATTGTTAGTGATTGGAATGCAAGAGCTGGAAACAGAAAAAGGAACAGTCGTTGAAAAATATGGTTTTGGTAATAGAAACGAAGCTGGAGATCATTTCATCGAATTTTGCAAGACCAATAACTTGTTCATAACAAAAAGCTTTCTTCAGTAACACACCTATGGACTTTTCCAGATGGAATATCAGAAATCAAATTGACTGCAAATGGGTGGAGAGGCCACAATATCTGCAGCTAAACCAGCTAAAACCAGACCAGGGGCTGACTGTGGAAGAGACCTTCAACTGCTCACATGTAAATTCATTTAGAAGCGGAAGAAAATTAAAACAAGTCCATGAGAGTCCAAATACCACCTGGAACCTATCCCACCTGAATTTCGAGAACGTCTCAAGAGCAGTGTAGATGGGAAATTGATGCATTAAACACTCATGACAGAAGACCTGAAGAGCCATGGAAAGACATCAAGAACATAATTCATGAAGAAAGCAAAAGGTCATTAAAAAGACAGGAAAGAAAGAAAAGGTCAAAGTGGGTGTCAAAAGAGACTCTGAAACTTGCTGACGCACCAGGAAATTCGGAAGCCAGCTACTTGGCCGGCTGACTGGAAGAGATCCATATTTGTACTCATTCCAAAGGAATGTGACCCGACAGCATGCTAAAATTATACAACAATCTCAGTGATACCACATACGAATAAATTTTTGCTGAAGATCATCCAACAAAAGTTGCAGCAATACATTGACAAGAAGCTGCCAGAAGTCCAGGCTGGATTCTAAAGAGGACGTGGAACAGGGATATCGTGACTGATGTCAGATGGACATGGCCTCAAAGCAGAGAATCCCAGAAAGATGTTTACTTGTGTGCTATTGACTATGGCAAGGCACTTGGCTGTGTGGGTCATAACAAACTGTGGATAGCCTCGAAAAGCATGGGTATATCAGACGGCGTCATTGTGCTCTGTGGAACCTGTACATGGATGAAGGGCCCATTGTGCTAACACAACCAGGGCATACTCGATGGCTTAAAATCAGCCAAGATGTGCATCCAGGCTGTATCCTCACACTATATTTATTCAAGCTGTATGCTGAGCTAATAATCAGAGAAGCTGGATCACATGAAGATGAATGAGACATGCCGACGACATGACCTTGCTGCTGAAAGGGAGGACTAGCTGTGTCTGACCCATGTCATGATCTTTTCAATCACTGCCCATGCGCTGAATAAGGGCTGCAACGAAGAATCGATGCATTTGAATTACGGTGCTGGTGAAGAACATTGGAAGTACTATGGGCTGCCAAACGAACAAACAGATTTAGCTTGAACAAAAGTGTAGTCAGAATGCCCCTTAGAGGCAAGTCTGGCGGGACTTTCCCTCACTTAAGACATGTTATCAGGAGAGACCAATCCCTGGAGAAGGACATCATGCCAAGCAGAGGGACAGGGAGCAAGAGGAAGGCCCTGGGCGAGGTGGATGGACACAGTGGCTACACTGATGGGCTCACACTTAGGAGCAGTTGTGAGGACCTATCAGGGCTAGGAGGTGTTGTATTTCGTTGTCGTAAGGTTGCTATGAGTCCAAACAACTCTACAGCACTTAATGAAAAAGAAACTCAGAAATTGCTTCTGGCATACGCTGGAGCCAAATGCTTTGCATTTTCTTGGCTATTTAAGAAAGTAATTCTTTGAACCGTCAATATATTTAGAGAAAGTGTTTTCCACATGGTCACCTGTTTTATTGATGATCAATAAACGAGTGAGGGGTTCATGTGGTTGTTGTCTGGGAGCCAGGAAGTAGGTGTGCGGAGAAAGCTCCCAGGTGTAACTGTTGTAGTATACTTTGGTGATGACGTACTCCAAAAGGGTGGGGGAGAATCCAACCCCCAAAATCAACAGCCTACGCGGAAGAAAATGGACAGTATGAATGTAAGCCCACTCCCCAAACACTTAACAGCTGAGTACATTATAATTTAATAGGATCAAGAAACTATTACAATTAAGCAAAGATTTATAAGTCAATTTTTGAGGTTTTTGTCTCTGAATTTCTGACTTGAAAATCATAAGACAGATCTATCCTTTATTCGTTTCTCTTCTTTTTTTCTGGCCAATGGGTACCATACAATTCCGCGGGATGTGTCTCTTTCGGTACAAAGCAAGTTGTACGTATTCTGACTCTCCCAGGGTTCCATGATACTGCTCCCCTTCTTGCTGGTCGATTCATCAACCTTTATAATCAATTTCTTCTGACCTACTCTTTGTCTCGCAGTATCTGCTTCTCTTAGGAACCACACCATTTTCTTAGTCTCGCAGGCTCACCATTTAGGCTATTTCTCACCCATGCTTATTCCACATTCCACCTTTCCAACACATTTAAAAACCTTACCTGTTATACATCCATTATACTTAGTATTTCACATTTTTCTCTAATTCCAAAGTTAGTAATTTCTGAATTCTTAAGTGGCGGCCATTCTTTCACACTTTACTCTCTGAAGACTCTTTTATATAATGTTACCGGGTCAACTTGCTAATCTCTGTCCTCAGGAACCCTGGTGGCACAGTGGTTGAGTTCAACTGCTAACCAGAGTCAGCAGCCTGCACCCACGAGCCACTCTGTGGGAGAAAAATCTGGCAGTCTATTTCCAGAAAGATTTCCAGCCTTGGCATCCCTGTGGGGCAGCTCTGCTCGGTTCTGAGTAGAAATCGACTTGACAGTAACGGGTGAATCTCTGCCTGGAAACTTATCAATGAATTCTGATTACTTACTCATTTAGCAAGCATTTGCTGTAATTCTGTTACATACCAGGCTTCCTGTCTATTTGATCCTTAGACAAAGTATTGTTTGCAAGGCATTAATTGAAAGCCGGGCTATGATGGACAACAGGATGCTAACATGAAATAAAATAGCTCTAGAGGAGAAAGATGGGTTCTATTGACCACATGGTAGGAAGGGAGAGTGAGCTACCTTCTCTTGGGAGGCAAAGATCAGGGCACCCATGGCGTCTCCAGTAGGATAATCATGGGAGAGATGGGACAGCCAAAGAAGAGTCAGTAGGATAACTCTAGAGCATCTACTCTATCCAGGGCATAGTGTACGGATTCCCGGGAAGGGGAGCCACATCCCGACACGACTGTCACTCAGCACTGTGGAAAATTTGAATGAGAGGACGCATTAAAGGAAAACTTAAACGACTTCAATAATTTCCACTAAAATTATCTCTGAAATGGTACACATGCAGCCTGCTGGTCTGCTAACAGACAAAAACGAAGACCGCTGCTGAAACAGGGCCTCAAACTTTGACCCAGTGAGGAAGATGCAGACATTGATTTTTGTTCGGCATTTGCTCCGGCTTGCTTTTCCACCTGAGAATTGGATTTGATTCCATTGCGGGGAAAAGAAGCCTGTGACAGTCTAGTACTCACAGTGTTAAAAGGGCTCTTCTTTCATGCTTTAACTTTAACAAGCGAACCTTTGCGATTGCACACACTTGCTTTCCCCAGAGAGCCATGCCACGGACCGTGTTATTGATCTCATTCACCGAAGAGAGGGCTTGCTCCATTGCAATAAGCCTTTCTGTGTCTCCACCTCCTTCTGCTTGCCCTTCTTCCGAAAGGTCAACATCTGTAAAACACGCCAGAAGAAACCTATGAAATCCCACTTCAGACGTCCATGATGGTGATTGTAGTAAAGGTGTCACAACCAGACAAGGCTTTCTACAGAACAAATAGCCAAAAATGTATGTGGTTTAGTGGTGCTGTCTTGAACCAGAAAAGCAAATGCAAGCTTATTCTTGTTTTGTGTTTGTTGATTTTTCAAAAAGCGTAGAAAGAAGACCCTACAAAGGTAACTCTGCATGCAGATCACGCATCAAAGAGATGAAGCGAAGGTACTAGACCAAGGCATCACGCTGCCTAAGTTGAGAAATTGGAAAACAGAAACACGTCTTTAGTGTTTGCTTCAGAAATGATGAGCTATAACCTGGGGGGGAATTGTGAGTGTTTGCCCCTGGAGAGATTCAATTATATGGCCTACGGATACACTGCCCTGTGTTTTCTCTACAATCTTAGATATCAGGATGGAACTGACTTGATGGCACCTAACAACAACAGCAATACTTATTAATGCAGATGTGAAAATTGTAAACAAGATAGAATCAACAGTATATGAGAAGAATACTTAGAGAATTGCTGTCATCCCTCTTACCAACAGACTCTATGTCTATGTAGAAATGTCCACATCTATGTCTCTACCCTCACCCACACTCATATCTTTATATCTGTATCTATGTAGCCATCAGATCTCCATCAGGTACAGGAGGACACAAAAACACCAAAAAGACAGAAGCTCATAAAGGGAAGATCCCCAGTAGCAGAGAAGATCCATGCACAAGAGAAGGCATGGCAGAAGGAGGAAGGCTCTACTATAAGCACACTTAAGAGGGAAAGTAGCCCAAATTAAACTCCGACATTCTCGTATGGGTTGGGTGACTGACTGTAATCCCATGGTGCCCAAACCAAACAATGAGTTTGCATGACCTGCCAATTCTTTCCTGTGGGATAGTATAAAGAATACTGGGATTTGTGGTAGCTACATAATTTCATGTCAACTTGATAAGTGTAGGGGTGGAGTCTAGCCTGTTAATCAGGTCACACCCTGATGATGCCTCCTTGTGGGCGTGGCCTTCTCATGAGGATTCTGGGAACTTTCTCTTTTTCTCCCTGGAGGTGGGCCTACATACTCTCTCTCTGCTTCACACTCCTGTTAAAGTGCCACACTATGAGAGCTGGAGGAGTCACGCCATGCCAGAACCTGAAACATTACCACCAGAACCTGAAATATTACCACCACCACTGGACCCAGAGCCTGAGATTCTCCCACTGCCATTGGATCCACAAGACTGCACCCACCAGCCTGTGATTTTCCTGCATTCTCTATCATTGCACGCATCTGTTTGCATCTGAAGAAGGATTTATGGGGTAGTATTGGACTCAGGGGCTAAGATAGGGCTTATGGACTTGATCTGGACTGGGCTGGGATGTTTTCTTAATATAAAATTACTCTTTGCTATGAAGCTCTTTCTTATATGTACAAGTGTCACTGGATTTGTTTCTCTAGTCAACGAGGCTTAACACAGGATTAAAGGAGGAGTAGAGCAAAAGCAATATCAAGGTGCAAGGGGGAGACAGAAGTACACATAATAGCAGGGGAGTTCAAAGAGTTTATGGAAAATTGGAATTGAAATATAATTCCACACAATTTTTCTATGAGCCTTTGAATGATGGAAACGGATTGTTACAAGTAAAGATTCCTATTGTAAACTAAATGTGGATTCTGAAAAACAAGTAACACCAAGAAGAAATAACCCAAAAAGCATTAAGGAGTTAAGATGGCTTGGTAATAAGATGCAAAAGAGGGCAGACAAAAAGCAACAGAAAAGCAAGGACCATACATGAGCTCTATGAAAGAGTTAAGCCTACTGAGACTAAAAACTACATTGTAAGTCAATGAGCTAAATACATGACTTATAAGAAACAGAATGTAAGATGGGTGGAAACGTGAAATTCAACTATATTCTATTTTCAAGACATAGTTTCAAAGCTCAGCAGGTTGAAAAAACTGTCAACCATTGGGATACTGCATCATACAAACTCCAACCACATTACAGTGGAAGTGCTTCTGCTCAATAGACAAACTAGACTTCAGAACAGCCACCATTGCCAGAGCATCTAGGCTTCAGATGGGTTCCATTGGGGGTTAGTTCTCCAGAGAGGACTCCCATATGGAGCTCAAAGACCAGGCAGGGAAACCGGATGAACAGAAACAGAATCAGAACAAAACAAGAAGAATGTTCACCCAAAGCGAAGAATGTAACTAAAGGCCCTAATGACTTGTGTAGAAATTATTGAAAACAAACCTAAATTGCTGTGTACACCTTCATAAAAAATGCAGTCAACTATTATTTTTATAAAAGATAAAAATGATCATCATTTCACAACACAAAAGTATATCATCAATGGCACTGAATTATACATGCAGTAGCTATTGAGTTGAAGAATGTATGTTTGTCACCATTAGCACAATCGTTCTACTAATAGCACTGAACACCAAGAAAAAGAAAATGTTCTAAAATTATGATTGTGGTAATGATTGTACAACCCTCTTTGGTGTGATTGAATTATTGAATTATATAAGATTTGGATGAAGTGCTAATATGACTTTTTATAAAGGAAAAAAGGAAACTCTAATAGTTGCAGGAGAAAATTCCTTCTGTCCCTAGGATTATCAGCGAGGTGAACAGTCCAGTTTTCCTTAGAAACCAGGAAGTTCAGAAGGCAGTGGTTTCAAGTGGTTAACAGAGAGAGAGGTGGAATAAGTATCTGGTCTGAATTTTCTCCTGGAGGCCAGGGTAGCGGATGGGGACGGTCAGTCTGGGATAGAAGAAAATGGGCAAGACAGGACACACGTTGCAAATAGAAACAACCAATGTGACAAGAGTGCATTTTGGTTTTTTTTCACAAATTTGGGCAAAAATGGCCACAATCTGGAACTGAGTCTTCTTGACGTGTCGATACTACACTGAGGGTTGTGTGTACTAACTCCAAAGGATTGTTTGCATGCATTCCATTTACCTGATTCATCAATGGCTGATTTTCCTTCCAGTTTCAGAAACACTTCATTCAAAGTTGTCATGGAAACACCATAATCCTCAATTCCCAGGTCAGGGGAGCTGTCAAGCGCCCTATAAAGTTCTAATGAGCACACAGACCATCAAATAAACATACACATAAAAATGTGAGTGAACTGAGATAAATATAGCAAATAGAAAAAGGCAACAATGAAAAATTGCACTGGTAGCTCAAGGGCAATTATAAAAAGGACATGGCCAAAATTTTATTACTCAAGTTTTATAGATAACATATTTTCAATTAGGAACCCTGGGGTTTATCTACTGGACCGCTAGCCAGGAGGTCAGTACTTAGAAATGAACAGCTGCTTCATGGGAGAAAGATGAGGTTTTCTGCTTCCTGGAGACTTATAGTCTTGCCAATACCAAGCTGTTGCTCAACTTTATTCTAGAGCGTTGTCGTGAGTCAAAATAGACTCAAGACAAATGGTTTTGACTTCTTGTTTTTTTTCTGTTTTCATCTTTTAACAAGTACCAGTCATCAAAAGATTACTTTCTGATAATCAAGTATAGGTGCCCAAGTGGCACTGTTGGGTAGGCATTGGGTTGGTAACCTAAAAGTTGGTGGTTCAAGCCCACCAGCCAATCTGCAGGAGAAAGCTGAGACTAAAGATATACAGCCTTACAAGTTCTATATAGGGTCGTGAGGAGTTGGAATAGCAGTAGGTTTGAAAGTTTTTAATTATTTTAAAAATGTTATGATCAATTGTTAATCTCCATGGGTTCAAACAGACGAATACTTGTGGGGATGGCACAGGCTGTATTTTGTTCTGTTGTGCTGAGTCAGAACCAAGGGTCTGACACCAAATAACAACAATTAACCTCTACTCATTTACATTTTGATCAAAAAATTCATTTTCCTTTGCCTCTGACTTGCTTATAAAATTAATGACTAGGAGAAATTTCTATTTTCTCCAACTTCAAACATAATTAATTGAAGAGCTTTTTTCAGAGACCAGACACAAATGGGAATCATTTATACTCTAGGCAACAAAATGAAACACCCAACTTTTGATACCAACTAGTTGGCTGATTGCTTCCATTCAGAAGATAGCTGCCAAAAGAGGGACATCTCATTATCTTCTACGCCTTTACTCAAGAACTTTGGAAGAATGTTCATATGTCATTAAAAAAAATTCCCCTTCTGTCTATGGATGAAAACCTCTCAAGATCACATAGAGAACGAAGAACTGACTTAGGGCACAACCTGGGACCAGTATGACATTTGGATAGCAAACCCTCCCTCTAAACCACTCTATCTCCAGGCCTCCTTCAGCTCATTTCATAAAACAATAGTTTGCATCTGTGATAATTTGTTCATATAACAGTGAACACCATTCTTGCATGTACAGACTTTATTGGCAGTGGTTAATGAAGGTTAAGTAAAAAAAAAAAAAATAGAATTCTAAAACCTAGTGTGACTATAGAAGTCTTGGTGCTCCAATCTGGGGCTCCTGCCAGGAGGAAGGAAACGTTGAAGGCTGTCTGTCTTTATTGGAGCATCCACAAACGGAAGAAAGAATACTAAATTGTTGATAAGTATTATGTCTTATTCTTCATTCTACCGAGAGTTCCACGAATTCCCTCTACATTATAATTATAATTATAATTAAGATGCACTAATTAGGATCTAGTAGAGTCCTGGAGGTGCTGTGGGAGAAAGATGGGGCTACTAACAACCTCAAGGTCAGCAGTTTGAACCCACCAGTTGCTCTGCCCAAGAAAAATGAGGCTCTCTGTTCTTGTAAAGATTTAGTCCAGGAAACCCTATGGAATGTACCTATGACTCAGAATTGACTGGATGGCAGTGTTTAGTTGGGTAACTAGGGGTTAATTAACAACACGCTTGTTGGTGCTAAAGCATATTTGTGTTACTTTTATGACATATACACTTGAAAAGCTTTGTGTGGTAATTTATGTATACATATACATAACCACTAGTATTATGGCAAGGTTAATTATTTCAACCATTCAACTCAGCCCTTAAAATGTCCCATGAATGGCCATTTTCCTGAATGACAAACATGATAAGTTTTTATATGTTGTCCTGAGAACCTCAAAGTGATGACTATGGTACTATCAAGAGAAGCCACCACATCACTGGTCTATCTGACATAGTGTGAAAACAGAGATTTTCAACCATTCGTGCTCCCATATCACTAGGAATGTTGAAGGACTAAAAGAAACCCCTTACCCTAAACAAGAGTTGCAATGACACTACTAGAATACAATAATTCTCAATATAGGAACAACGGAGTTATTACACCAGTCTTTTTGACCATCTTTCAAATACCTGACACATTAAATCCTCAACAAATGTTAGCCACAGTAATCATCATTGTTGTGGTGAATATTATTGATAGGTCTCATTTCATGGGACACTATACTATACATTACCTGGGAATTTATTTGTCCTCTCTAATGGAAGTGTGTAGGTAAGTTTCCCTCCACTTTCTGCTGATAATTTGGCATCAGGGATGTGCTGTTTGATGAAGGCTGTTACTTTTTCCCGAACACACATTTCATTCACCTGCAAACTGATGTTTAAAAGAAAGGCATATGTTACTTAGCATATTCTCCAAGACCCAGAGAGAGAAAAGGCTAGTCTTTATGGGACAAAAAGAAAAAAATCAATTAAAATCTGATGTAAGAAATTAATTGAGGATGGTGTTTACAGAGGATCAGTGTTGATTGGGTCCTTAAGGGAGAATGGCTACAGAGTAAAGAGCCAGGCATGCAAACAAGAAAGGTCAGATACAAGTGAGTGTGAGATAAACAACGGTCTAGGTATGCCCAAAGGAAAATTAATTCAGATTCTTGTATGTGGCAAGAGCAGAGGACTTCGGCTAGATATAGGAGCAAACCGAGCTCAGTATTTGCAAATGCATTGAGTTCTTAATATGGGATATGCATTGGGTTTAGTGCTGAGGGTATAATGATGACCTACTCTCCTGTTCTTATAGAGCTGATGACTGTCCAGTGGAAGGACAGGCAGCAAATAAATAGGTAGACAAATAGTTATCAATGGTCATAAGTCCTATGAAGAGAACAGGCATATGATATAGATCAACAGGGTTGGTGAGGGTTATTGGATGGTCTTTTCCCTCTCTTTGTGGTGTTAACAACAGAACTTCAAAGACAGGCTACCACTGAGAAAAAAGAACTCTCTCCATTCAAAAACACCACAGATAAATTTCCCATCGTAGAAACTATCGAAAACTAATGTAAAAGCAACCTATGATCCAGGGTTCACGGATTGGCTTTATAATTTGAAATGCGTTTTACCAGTCTTGAGATAGAATACAAATGCTAGCGCATAGATTTGTTGTAAGAATAGAATCATAGTGATATTTGCACTGAGCAAGCTCTCAAAAAATTATTTCCTGAACACCCAAGTTAAAATTATTCCAAGTTAAAAATATTACCCCCAAAGTATGCATGAACTTGCAAGAATATATGTCATTTTTTTGAGCCAGTAAAATCTACTGGGAGAATGAAGCCACAATATCATCAGTGATCTCCCCTGAGTTAGTTAATTGTGCCAACCTGGCCGATAATCACAT